CCTGCCCGGCCCTGCCTGCGGTACCGGGACGCTGGTGGGTGCCTCAGGGTGATACTGGGAACAGCCAAACCCAGAGCGACCCCCGGCGTCTCCCCCTTGCACGGGGGGACGGGATCCACGTGATCAGCAAGGGACTGGGGTGTCCCCCCTGAGCCTGCCGGAGAGCCGAGCAGGGACTGGAGCTCCCAGACCTGCCGGGGCTGGCAGAAGCTTTGCCGCTGCCGTGGTGTAAGCTCCGTAGCACCGAAGCCCGGTGGCAGAACGTCCCCAGAGGTGCTGGGGCACGTGGCACCGCTCCTGGCCCAGCTTGCTGCTACAGGCAACACCAGTGGCTGATTCAGCAGGTTTCCCCTGCCCTGCTCTGCCCGGACTTTGCTCACTGAAGGCCGCCGGCCAGCAGATGCGGCAAGCTGTAAACACGCGCCGTGGCTGTGATCTCCCTCTGCCCACGTGCTGCCCTGGCTGGGCAACGCATTCCTCGGGGCGCACCCTCTGGAAAGCACCGGGGACCAGCCAAGTCACGCTGTCCCCACGCGTCCCGCTTGCCGGGCTGAGTGATGCTGCGTGCCCACCGCACCCACGGGGACGTTCCTGACCCTATACTAGAGGGTAGGCAGACTGAAGTGTCACCTCAAAGCTCGCACCCCCGTGGAGGTATTTTTCTTCTGAATGCTGCAAACTACTTCCAGCACAAGGCAGGTCATTTCGGGGCTCCACAGCTATTCCTGGTGCGAGCCTGGAGCCGATAGGGCAGGGATGGGGCCAGCAGCCTCACAAGTGACATTCGTGCCCCAGCCAGGTCCCTCCTTCTCCATAACATCTCAGCAGGGACTACTCACCCCGTGCAGGCTGGCTGGCTGCTCTGGAGGGGTCAGCTGGGAGAGCCAGGAGGGGAAATCCTTCTGGGGGCTCTGAAAGAGATCCAGAGGGTCACACGAGGGGTGTCCCCCGTCCCACCTCCATCCCTCACACCATGCAGCGTGCTGCAGTCTGGAGCCCACCTGTATTTATGTTGGTACGGGTGTAAGTAACGCTTTAGCATCATTAAAGGGAATTTTGCGTATAGGTTGGGTGTTTGTAACCTGTAATTTGGTGCAGCAGCTTCCATCTACACCCCACTGCTTAGACATACATCCACCACCAAAACTTTTTGGGCCTGGCTGGAGCCATCCCTCCCCCAGCCCCCCAGCGCGCAAGGAGACCCCAAGTGCCCCAGCGAAGGACAGGGACTTGGACGCACCGCCCTGTGTCCTCTGGAGGGTGCCTGACACCCCTGAAGCTGCGGGGAGCGATGCCAGGTGAAGGACTGGGGGTGGTGGCCTGTCCCGGACCCCCTCCCCGCTCCTGGCAGGGAGGGTAGCACGGACACCCGCTCACCTTCTGTCCAGGGGGAAAAATCTGCAGCTCCTCGATGGTGAAGTGGAGCCAGACCGGGGAGGGCTGCCGCAGGATGAACCGCACTGCCGTCACCTGGTCCACGTCACACAGCATCTGAAGGGGCAAGGATGGGGATGGGGGGAGAGCCATCACCGCTGGGGGTACAGCAGGGGCTGGGCAGGCTGGCACTGCCCCC